CCCCAAAACCCCAAAACCCCAAAACCCCAAAACCCCATAAGATGCAATTTAATTGAATCTTAAATAAACTTTAAAACAGTTAAATTTCAATTTTTATTCCCTTTAATTGCTGAAGCTAGACCATTACTTTTCATGCTGCTCTGAGACTAGCCGTGTGATTATCTGCTCGTATATTAACTTAAAGGCAGTGAGATCTCTTGTTAAAAATGTTCAGGTACTTTAACACTGTTATAGACAACCACTATGTCTCCTACTCTTACTTGAATGCGCTCTTTGTCTTTATTTCTGTCAAAAATAACACCTCTCTTTTTTATTTCATTTCTTATTGGTTAATTCTCATCTTTTACTTAGATTACTAGACTTCCACCGAATATTTCATTTTCAACAGTTCCTTTTCTGAGAGTTTAAAGCACCAATTTATTGAAGTGCTAATCCAGTTCGTTAAACTAGACCGACAGCACTTTAAATCTACCTTCATACTTTGAAGTATCAATAGGCATTCTAGGCTGATCTCTTATCTAAGGCCCAAGCTTGATCCACTCAGGTACAGCATCCTCAATCTCACAGATACGATTGATATTGCAATGCACCTTTACCTTTCTATCATTTTTATGAGAGAGTAACTTATTATCTCTATTATAAGTAAGTGAATCTTTCTCTAAAGGTGAAATTGGCAGGAATTCTGGTTTCATCCATTCTAGCGTATTGATATCTACAATGCCATTCATATTATAAAGGCAAACTGCAAACTCTATAATATCTCCTGATTGAACTTGAATTTCATTCTAACCACATGGAGGCATATCATCACTCATATAAATCCAAGTCACTCTCTATTACCCCTTCTTAAGCACATCAAACCTGTATTCTGTGCCGTACCTTGTTTTGTCTTTGCTTACTTATCTTTCTTTTATTGTTGGGGTGTATTCCTATTTATATGCAATGCGGAAAGTCTTATTAATCATATCAGTTCTTGGCATAACCTCACATTGAAATATCCTATCTAGCCTGACACCCCTTTAATTGCAGAATCTAATTGGAGTAGCATTATTATATGATCTGAGGAAATTCAGATACATTTCATACTGCTATATGAATTTATTCTCTATTATGTTAGCATATTCATCTAATGAGTCATTGACCTTGCAGAACCAGGAGGCACTCAGTCTCAAATACTTGGGATATTCGTCGACATTGAACATCAAAAGTAGCAGTATTATGCGATTAGGCAAATCATACTCTTGGTGCTCTATTATTAAAGACTTTATTGGAATGTTATCATTAGCCTATACTGACTCAGTCAGATGCTAGCTAATTGTCTCTAGGTTGTGGTCCTGCTAAAGAGTATTGCTGTTATGATTGCTGGTAAAGTTATCATTGACATAGTTATTTCCATTTTTAGGTGTCATTAGTAGTGAATCGCTTTAGTCATAGTCTACATTATTTCTAGGAAATTTAAACTAGGACTCATCTTATACTACAAACACCTGAGTTGATCTATTATATTGATTAGCTTCTTACTGTGAGTACATCTTTGACCCAATCTTTAGTGTTTTCATCTTACTCTATGCCATCTTTTCTTGATTTTTCTATTTAGATGTATGCCTATTAGGACTGAGCTTACTATATAATTAGTCTTTAACTTTACTAGTTTTGTTGTTGTAAGTACTTAAATATTATTTGTCGTTATTGTTATTTTCTATGATTTTATTTGTTAATCGTTGATAATAGTTATCTTGTATACTTTTTCCCTAGATAGTCATGGCTTTTTTTAGTAAGTTATTCTAATTAAGACTGTTATTATTGTTGTTAATGTTACTACCTACAATACTTTCCTTATGAGCATTGTTGTCATCTCTTCTATCTTCTTTTATTTCAGATGCAGACTTCTAGCTGCCAGTGTAAGGATACTTGTAGAATTTATTGCTTGTGGAGGGTTAACTTGAAGTATTAGTTTTCATCTACTTCATATTTTGCTAATAGAGAACTTGATGAGGAATACTTGAGTCAGTCAAAGTACTTTGAAATTTACTGGTATTAGGCTTTTGAAATTTATTGAGCATTTTTTTAGGCTCTAATTTGATATTCTATTTTTGAATATGAGAATCTCGACTCATAATTTCAAAAGACTACTGAATTTCAACTTAAGTCATGTCTGTAGATCTTTTGCCTTTTTAAAACAACTTTTAACCCTCTGGTTTTTCGTTTCTTGGAATACTCTATTGTAACTTGCTGTTAAAACTTTATCTATGAGTGCGTGTGCTTCCATTCTAAATTTATGGATCCTTAAACCCTTTGCTTATTTCACTTGCTCTGGGTAAATATGCTAAATCATGATTCAATTACTTCTTTCTAGCAGCTGATTATTGAATAGTAGTTTTAGCTAGTTTCCTGGAGATGCTACTCACCCCCGCAGAACCTTTTGGTGATTACTAAAGCAAATTTGAGATTTCAGAGGGCATTTGCAGTTCCTTATAATTCACTTTTTGAGATTTAGAACTATGCTGTAGATTTAAGCCTGGAGGGTAGAATGCGGATTGCTATGGCTGCGATTAATGATAGTAGTCATTCACATTGCTGTTTTTGCTTTGATGTTTGTTGACTTTATGAGTTATTTACTCAACCTTTTCATCGAATTCGCTTGTTTTAACTTGATAAGAGTCGAAAGTTTGCTCGAATTCAGGTCTTGCCTCCATAGGAGCATGTTTAATGATTCTGCATAATACTACCTTCTTAGACTGCAGGACTCTTTGAGTGATCTGAGGATAAAGATTCTAATGGATGTGCTTGCGTGAACCTGCCATACTGTACGGTGAATAAAATTCATTCTAGGAAATATAGCCCCCATTCACTCCTTTACTTGTATCGTTAGCATTCTTTTGGCCATTCATAGATGGATTAGTCTCGTTCATAGAGTTAGACACTGATTTATTGGATTAGTTCAAAATTACAGTGCCAAATTTATTAGGAACTTTTGCTGAGTTTGTTAGCCCACGTAGGTAGTCCTAATTTTTTCTTACAGATGTCGATAGTAAATCATTTCTCTCATCAGCTCTTCTTGTTTTCTTTGGTGTCTACTAGGATGTATTTCTATTTCCTGAAGCTTATCTCTAAGTCCATTTCTAAGATATCAAATTCTAATCTTAAGCTTTGCTATCTACATAGTAACTCTGATATTACTTATCGTTTTGAAGCTACTTTTAAGAAAGCTAGTCCTCTTTTATTAATTTTGCTCCCATAATTTATTTTAAGTTATTAAGAACAAACATAATCATTAAGCAATTGTTAAATTGTTCTACCAAAACTCATTCAAATTAAGCCGATTTTAATATAATTGAATTTATTAATTAATCCGCAATGGCTAAAACCCAGCCTAAAAAGTAATCTATTTATATCAATATAAATTTTGTTTCTAACTAATTTACTATAGACAAGCTGCTAAAAAAGTAGTGAAAAAGAACAATCAACCAAAGAAGACAAAGAAGAAGGTGGAAGAGTCTGAGTAAGAAAGTGAATAAGAAGAAGAGTCTGATTTCAATGCAAGCGATGTTGATTTTAAAGAAGAAAGTGCAGAAGTAGAAGAATCAGTAGAGGAGGAGGTATCTGAAAGTTTTGAGGAGATTGTAGTCAAGAAAGCTTCAATTAAGAAAATAACTAAAGTTAACGCTAGGGCTTCTCCGTCTAAGCAGTCAACACCAAAGAAGAATAAGCCAATCAAGAAAGAGAAATCTTCAAGTAAGAAAGCTGCAGATAAAAAGAAAAAGTCCTCGAGATCTGACAAAAAAGACAAGAAAAAGAATAGTAATAAATCCAGATCAGCAGGAGGCAAGAGCTCAAAATCAAATGGATCTAAGTCAGTTAAGAAGGAGAAGTAAAAAGATGAAGAAGAAGATGATCCTAATAAGATATTTGATATGCCAGGCTAGGTGAAGCAAGCTCCAGATGATGTAAGATTTTTATCGATTTAATCTGAGAATAGGGCGAGGGAATTAGAGTATTTTATGAGAGTTTATATCAGCAAAAACCAAATAGTAAAATGGCAGAGCTATGGCTACTGAGACATGGCTTGTTGCAATTTGACAAGGCTAAAGAATTAATTGATAAAATTAAGAAAGAGGAGAGATTAAACAGGAGATGAGCTTGTGAAGATAAACTGTGATGTGAAGGTATTTTAAATTATTGGTCTTGTAAAGTGTGTTAATTTAAAATTTCATTCCCTCTATTTTTAACTAATATTAATGATTGCGGGGTTTTGGGGTTTTGGGGTTTTGGGGTTTTGGGG